TGCTTTCAAATTATTTATAGCAATACAGAAATTTTCAAACCCTTAAGCTTAAAACACCCAGGCTCTTATTTGCTCCTATTTGTCCAGAAACAAGTGGACCCAAAACCCCTCCCAATAGGTGATACTTTATACTTAAACCACAATGTAAGCAATCACACACACACACAAAATATATATATATATATCTCCTGTTAGCTTTAGTGTTCACAATGTATGTTCTTTCTGTTAGCTCTAAAGTCCTGTTACATACATACTGTTAGCCTTATAGCCTTAGCTTCACAATGTGCATCCTGTCATGTTAGTCCTAAATGTCCTGTTATGCTTTTGAACAACCTGTTCCTAGAGAAAGCCTCTAGCCATAGGTCCATTTCAATCAACATTTCAAATTTAAAACAATGTGTACAAACAGCCCAAGAACTACAGCAATTATTTCAGAAACGAGAGCCCCCTTTCCCTTTCCACTACTACCAACATCACATGTCCATGTCTATGTCCATGTAGATACATAGCCTTACTGAATGTTTCTCAATTTGGGTTTAACAGGAAGCCCTTTAAAAAAGTTGTCTTTAGCAAGAACCCCTTCCCCTCCCTTGATAATACATTAACATCCCCTCCATTTTTTTCAGCATTCTAAACTCTCTGGAAGGCCTCATTTAAATAGTCTAATTGTAAAGAATATTTTATCTTATGAGTAAGGCACCTAGCTAGGGAAAATGGCCTGAGAGGGTTGTGAAATAAACCATATAGGTAAGAATTAAAATAAGAATAGTGAACTACAGACAGTACACCAAGAATCAACTTCCTCGGGCAACACAGAATATAGACCCTCCCTACTAAGCTGCTGAGTTTCCAGTTCTCTAAAAACCCAGATTTCTATAAATTTACATGGTAAGAAAAAGGGTTTAAATTTATAAGAGCCTGAGTTCCAAATGGTCATTTTAAATACAGAGTCACCTGTGGTAGGTGGTCATTAAATAATTAAGCAATTACTGTGCTCCGATTATCTATACTTGGCTCTGGATTGAGCAGCCACAGGGCCACCTACTCGGGATGCTTCCAAGGAATCAGGGAACTATTCCCATTTCCAATAAACTCTCCAAGCATCCTGTTTTTGGCTCATGACCTCATTCCACAATGTTGGAATGAGTCCACGAGCTCTGTTCTTTAACACTGAGGCCTGACATAAATAATTACGGTGATAATTGGGGGCGTGGTTCCTGAGTACGGGACGCAGGATTTCACTGCATACTTGGCAACCACTCCGCCCCAGTCACATCACCTGCCTTGTTAAACCTTTCTTTGGGTTCTCATAGCACTTATCAACACCTATTGTGACTTTGGCAATATGGGGAAATATTGGGAATTTAGTAATTCACTGTGAATATAAAAAGGCACAGGTCAAAGGAGATACCTTATGGGTATGAGACCCTGCATCGCAGACGTTAGTAAGTGTCAGATCCTCCAGATCTGCTACTAAAAGTAATGAGACCAGGGACCCAGCACATCACAGCTGCACGCAACTCCAACCCTTACCTGAACGAGGGTCTCCGCACACCCCCCCACTCCAGATTGGTGTAGCTGAGGCTGTGCCTGGGGCCACAATTAGACGGCACTGTGGGCTCGAGTGTCACAGTGGGGACAGGATGCAGGGAACCAGGAATTAACCATGACCCAGCTCAAGGAAAAAGGGACTAAAGCACCAAAGACCAGAATTTCAGAGTCTGGAGCTAAGCAGGGAGGCTGTAGTTCCCCGTAGCTGATTCTGGCCACTTCCTATTAGACCTTATCCCGATTCCATCCCATTCCCGGCTTCTGTGCTACAACATCACCATTGCGTGGCTTCAGGGTCTCTCAGAGTCCTTCCCACGCAGCGTGCAACCAGTAGAAGTCCTAGAAGGTGGTCTAGCAAGATGGGAGGCTCGCGGGAAAGTGATCCGAGCCTGCACTCCAGCGTCACGACCCCGGAAGAACCCTCCTATATTGGCCCACCTGATTGGGCAGTTCGTACGGCCCGCCTCCTTATCGCTGATTGGCTCCAGCTCCATTGCCC